CTGTTCCTGCTTGGAGAACGACCTGATGGGCATCTTTTCTTAGGAAAGAGGGGAGTCCTGGAGCATTCTTGCGACCTGCCTTCTTCACTCGTTTGAGCACAGCCCGTCACCTGGTGCCCGGATGAAGACCCGTCCCTGCATTTCCAGCGTGTCTCCAGCGAACAGGCCCGAGAAATGCCGGCGAACACTCACCTTTGCCCTCCTGTCTTAGCCTTTCCTTGGAAGCGATTCCTGGAAGTGGAATTGCTGTGTCAAGGGAAGGGTGCGTTCAGTCCTGTGTTCTCCAGAGAGGCTGCGAGTGGAGGAGGTGTCTTCTGGAAAGCAAGTGCTGAACAGGGCAGAGCTTCTCAGGCTCCTGGGAGCCTTGGCGGTATAGGCTCTTTGGTGGGGACTCTTGTGTTTTGTGGAGAGAGACAGGGTCCCATTCAGTGGCCCAACTGGAGTGCGTGGAAGGATCATGGCTCACTGCAGCCTCCAACTCCTGGCTCAGGCTGTCCTTCCTCTTCAGCCTCCCCCATGTCGCGGGAATTACAGGTGCCACCATGCTGGGCTTTTTAAAGTTTTTGCAGAGGTGGGTTTCTCTTTGTTGCTCATGTTGGTTTTGAAGTCCTAACCTCAAGTCATCCTCACACCTTGACCTCCCAAAGTGCTGAGATTTTAGGCCTGAGCCACTGTGCCCAGCCTGAACTCTGTTTTTGATGCCAGAAAACTAGTGAGCTCCTGGAATGCGTTTAGGGTGACTAAGCACCAACCCAGGACACAGCCATACCACACCCACCCTCCAAAACAGGGTAACATAAGATACAACAAATATTGGGAGGCTGAGGTGAGTGTATTGCCTGAGCCTGTGGGTTCGAGACCCACCTGGGCAACTTGGCGAGACCTCATCTCTACAATAAATCAAAAATCAGCTGGGCGTGGTAGCGTGTGCCTATAGTTCCAGCGACTTGGAAGGCTGAGGCGGTAGGATCGCCGGAGCCCAGCAGGTCGAGGCTGCGGTGGCCGGGAGCGGCCACTGCACTCCAGTCTGGGCGACAGAGTGAGACTCCAACTCAAAAAAAAAAAAAAGATATAACAAATAACTATGCACATGTGTTATTACTTTAACATAAGAAATTTGAAAGTAGGTGTTTTTTGAAAATACTATTCTGTGTTATTTATTTTTTCTCTTAGATGAAAGCTTTTATTTAAACAAAACAGCTATATGACTAGTTAGCAATGGCCATTCGTAGTAATTAACAGCAGGAATATTGAGAAAATTTAACAATATTTTCTGTTTCTTTTTAAACTCTGATATGGCAGTTTAACATTTTTAAAAACTTTTTAGTGGATATGTAAATCCTGTGGGCTATGCTATTATGTATTCTGAAGACATACAAAGTACAGCGAATGAGATCATTGTAAATTCACAGAGTTATAAGAAATAATACACCATGGCTGGTGCTATGATCTCAACACTTTGGGAGGCTGAGATGGAGAACTGTTTGAGGCCAGCAGTTCGAGACCAGCCTGAGCATATGGTGACACCTGCTAATGTGAATGAACCTTGTGAAGAAGGAATGATCACACAGTGAGATCTGTCTCTACAAAAAAAAGAACTGGGCATAGTGGCACAAGCCTGTAGTCCCAGCTACTTGGGAGGCTGAGGCAGGAGGATCGCTTGAGCATTGGAGTTTGAGGCTGCAGTGAGCTGTGACTGCAACACGGCACTCCAGCCTGGACTCCAAAACAAAGAGAAATGATACACCATTTCCCCAACCCTAGCATTCTGCAAAGCTGTAGCGCAAGGTCATAGTACGTGACCTTTTGAGATTGGCTTTTTTCACGCAGCATCATTCCCTGGGGATTCGTCCAAGTGGTTTTGTATATCAACATTTTGTTCCTTTTTAAGTGAGACTTAGAAGAAGCCTAACGGAACTAATTGAGCAGACACTGCCTGTATCTAGTAAAAAACAACAATGACATGTTTCTCCCTGCCTGTGCCACGCACGGTGGGCTGTTCCTTCTCTGTCCCTCACCCAGCAGCATCCTCTGCACTGCCTGCCGCCATCACAGCCTCCTCTCCTGTTGCGCAGAAGGAAGACGGACGCAGTTCAACAGCCACATCCCAGGACGTGAGCTCTGGGCTCACGAAGCCCCAGGGAAGCCTGTTCCGATGCCAGGCTAACATGACGACATCTCCCCAGCAACTCTGTGCTTCTGAACATGTGGGAATCAGTTTCCAGTTCCCAGAAATGTCCCCGTGCTTTGCACCTACAGGCTGGTTTTGGTAAAGCAGGCGTCTTGCGTCAGGTCCCCTGTACGCACAGACTTACACACAGGCTGTCCAGGCTGTGGGTGCTCTGTCCATCTCTCACGTGAGGGGCCACTGAACTCCAGGGCGGGAGTCCACTTTGATCACTGTTGCTCTCTCTCTCCCTGCTTGCAGAGAAATCCACCAAGGATAGTCTGAAGACTGTGCAAGCTTGTAATAACTTTCCTTAGCCTTTCATGTTACAGAAATCGGCTGTGGGGCAAGGCATGTGACAGACAGAGAAAATTGGGAATTTCCTGGCCATGTGTTCAAGTACAAGTAGGAGCCGGGCTCGATGGCTCAGCCTGTCATCCCGCGCCTTTGGGAGGCTGAGGTGAGTGGATTGCCTGAGCCCGCGGGTTTGAGACCCGCCTGGGCAGGCAAGACCTCATCTCTACAATAAAATAAAAAAACTAGCCAGGCGTGGTAGCGTGCGCCTGTAATTCCAGCTACTCGGAAGGCTGAGGCGGAAGGATCACCGGAGCCCAGCAGGTCGAGGCTGCGGTTGCCGGGAGCGGCCACTGCACTCCAGTCTGGGCAACAGAGTGAGATTCCGACTCAAAAAAAAAAAAAAAAAAAAAGTACAAGTAGGATGTTGGTGACTATATGGACCCCCTTAGACGGCCTGGCCGGACACCCCTGGCACAGAGAACCCATGGGTCCTTCTGAAAGAGCCTCCACAAGCAGCTGGTCCAGGTAGCCATGTGACGTTATCATACCATGCTCGGTGCCAAGTCTCCTCCCGGCAAAATCAGGACCTCTGGCCAACGTTCTCCAGAATCCAAGCAATTCAGTGATTCTCCTAGTGAACTGCTTAATCTGTAGGAATAACTGGCCCAGTTACCAAGCCGTGCCATTAGCAACTAACTCACCTGAGAAGTGCCCAGGAAAGCCATTTGCTCAAAGCTCGATGATCAAATTGTTGCCATTTGGGTTTTGTTTTGTTTTGTTTGAGTTGGAGTCTCACTCTGTCACCCAGACTGTGGCCACCACAGCCTCGAACTGCTGGGCTCCGGCGATCCTTCCTCCTCAGCCTTCCAAAGGAGGTGGAACTACAGGTGCGTGCTACCACACCTGGCTAATTTTTGATTTATTGTAGAGATGAGGTCTCACCAAGTTGCCTAGGCGGGTCTCGAACCTGTGGGCTCCGGCAATCCACTCACCTCGGCCTCCCAAAGCACTGGGATCACAGGCTGAGCCACCGAGCCCAGCCGCCGTTTGTTTTTTATGTTAACACAAGTAGAACCATCACGGCCATCACTTGCTGAGCGCTTCCTGCGGTGGGCTGGGGACTTCTGGGGGCTCTCGGCTCTCACTGGATCCTCAGAACAGCTCTGGGGCAGACCAGGACATGGATACTGGAGGAACAAGCAGCCTGTGTCCACGCTGCTCTCACGGAGCAGATCGAAGATTCAGCATCTGGGTCCTCGTGACTCGCGGCCCACGGCTTTGGGCCGTGCAGACTGCCACACGCATCACACACATGTTCAGCCGACACCCGGAAGTGTTAAACAACAACAAACGTAGATGACGTGTGTCACATCACCCAGAGGCGACCCATGTAGACATGTTATTCGGTCCCTTTCCTATGAACATACATGTGTATTTTATTCTTTTTAGATGTTTCTTACTTTTTTATTTCTACTTTTTAAATAGGGACCGGTCGCGCTCTGTTGCCCAGGCTGGTCTCAAAGCCCTGGGCTCAAGTGATCCTCCTCCCTATCTCCCAAAGTGCTGGGATGACAGGTGTGAGCCGCCACGCCAGCCCCTGCTTATGTCTATTTTGGAAGAGTGAATACCATCGATGCGGTGCCTCACGACATGTGTGGACCTGCTTTCCTGTCTAGAAGCAGTCAGGGATTCCGCGTGAGAAGAGCCTGGCCGGTGGTGTCTCCCTTTCCATCCAAGGCCTCCCCAGAATACCGGGGAAGAAGCCTAGAAGAGAAAGGGGGTGGGAGGGCAGGGGGCAGACTCGGGGCCAGCAACCACGTGCTGTGGAGAGGAGGAGGCCGCCTCCCGGAACAGGCACCAGAGACTAGGCGGGCGCGGCCTCGGAGGCGTTGGGGCAGGGCTGGCTCCCAGGGATTAAGTGCAGCTCCGGCTAGAACATGTGCTTCTGGGCCCAGGCCACACAGCAGCTGGCAGGCATCCTGGCTGGGCAGTCAGACCCACTGAGCTGGTGGCCGGGAAGGGCTGTGGGCGTGGCCTGGGCCCCCAGCCTGGCATCAGGCGAGGGCCTCCCGCGCCTCTTCCCTTCCATACCCCCGAAGCGGGACACCCCGCCCTTGGACACAAGGCTTCCCATTGGCCTCAGCTCAAGGGAGAGGCCCGTCGAGGAAACGGGGTTGCCTGGAATACTCGCACAAGTGGTCTGTTCTTAAATGAGAGACGCGAGGAAAGGCAGCTGTGCACGAGAGGAAGACCAAGGCCCGAGAGAGGAAGGGCTGCTTCCAGAGGGAGTGCAGTCGTTGGGACACAGGAGAGCGTGAGAGGTATTTTCACTGAAGCCTTCGGAAAGGGCTGAGGAGACAGGACATCTTAAAACAAGGCCAGGTTGCTGTGAAGACGGAATGATCACAGAGTAAAAAAGAGCTTTTAAAAACAAAGGCTTCATAAACATGGGCAGCACAAATTGATAAATCAGACTTCATCGACTTGTTGTTGTTGTTAGAACAACTCAGCAAAATAAAGTTCCGGTTTATTGTTGGACAACATTGTTTCACACCTACATCAAACAGGCCAAAAAGATAAACAGCAACTTCACAGACAAAAAAGGAAAAAAAAGAAACCTTTTATCTTTGGCCTTTTTAACCATCTCATACAAACCAACGCCTTATAGTACAGCTAGGTACATACACAAAAAAAGTTACTGGAATGCTCGGAATAAGATTTTTTTTTGTTGTTTTTGCTTTTTTTACAAAGTTTTTTTTCGCCTTTGAGATTATAGTGAACATGGTCACTATAAAGTCAGAAGTAGGACAGAGAACGCTCCGGAGGCTGGTTTGGTCATCCGAGATCATTAAAAATGGCTGAGCCCTAACAATATGTACAAAAATATAAGATGTAAATAAAAATACAAATTTCCTTTTTAAAGTACTTTTAAGAAGAAAAGCAGGGCCTTGGAAATTTTGGTTCTTTTTTCCTCCCCTGTTGCAAATTCTCATGGTTTTGGTGGGGTGGTGGAGAGCGCGTGTCACCTGTGGGTGGCACTGCCCGCGGTGGGCGGGCCTCTCTACTCGAAGGTGACCACGTTTCCATTCTGAGACGGGAAGTGGAGGGTGAATAGGTCACGGCGGCCTTTTTATTTAGTTTAACTTTTGCTTTTTTTGCTGTCTAGTCATCCTCATCGGTCTTCTGCTTCTTAGTGTCAACACTGTCATCCTCACCATCTTCAGCCGCCCGCTTGCCCGTAGCGGCGTCAGCTTCCTCATCTTCCTCTCCATCCTCCTCCTCCTCCTCTCCACCTTCTTCCACTTCTTCATCTGCCGCACTGTCAGCCTCCTGCTCCCCATTTTCCTCATTAGCATTCCCATGAGCAGGGGCGTCTCTTCCATTTTCCGCCTCCTCCACAACTTCCTTCTTCTCCTTTAAGTCCTTGGTGGTGATCGCGGAGCTGGTGTCCACGGCTGCGTCTGACATGGTGGGGCACGCCGGTGTTTCGGTGCAAGGGACTAAGTGGAACACGAGAGTTTGAGGACTCTGGCGTTAAAGCTGCCGGAGTCCGCGGCAGAGGTGGCTGCGGCGAGCAGAGAGCCGGACCGGGAACAATGCAATGATGGCTTTTCAGAGCAGCCAGTGGGGCTTTTTTGTTTGTTTTCTTTTTTGAGTTGGAGTCTCACTCTGTCGCCCAGACTGGAGTGCAGTGGCCGCTCCCGGCCACCACAGCCTCGACCTGCCGGGCTCCGGCGATCCTTCCGCCTCAGCCTTCTGAGTAGCCAGAATTACAGGCATACGCTACCACGCCGGCTGATTTTTTGATTTATTGTAGAGATGAGGTCTTGCCAAGTTGCCTAGGCGGGTCTCGAACCCACGGGCTCAGGCAATCCACTCACCTCAGCTTCCCAAAGCGTGGGATTACAGGCTGAGCCACCAAGCCCGGCTTTCATCGACATGTTAACAATTATTTTCTTCCAAAGGCACCATTAAGAAAACGAACAGGCAAGGCTAGAATGGTAGCTCATGCCTGTAATCCCAGCACTTTGGGAGGCTGAGGTGAGAGGATCACTGGAACCCAAGAGTTTGAGACCAGACTGGGCAACATAGCGAGACCTTGTCTCTAAACAAAATTTTAAAAAGTATCTGAGCACGGTGGCACCCACCTGTAGTCCCAGCTACTCGGGAGGCTGAGGAGGGAGGATTACCTGAGCCCCGGAGACTGCGACCGCAGGGACCCATGATCACACCACTGCACTCCAGCCTGGGTGACAGAATGAAACACCGACTCAGAGAAAAAGAAAGTGAATGGGCAAGTCAGAGAGTGGGAAGACGTCTTCTCAATACTTGTATCTCCCACAACTTGCGTCTAGAATGCGTAAAGAACTCTCGCAGCTCCATAAGAAGACAATATAATTCAAACATGGGCAAAAGATCTGAGCGGCTATTTCCGCAAGGATCTATGAGTAATTAACACGCAAAGGAACAGGAGCTCGGCGCTGTCACCCGTGAGGGAAGTGCGAACACACGCCCCTGGGGATGCTCATGCTGGGGAGACAGCCCGCCCAGGAAGGGAGGGTCCCACACCTGCAAGGCCCACGTGTGCCTGGTGGGGACGTCAAAGGGCACAACTCCTTTGGGAAACACGACAGCAGTTGGTCGTGAACTTGAATAAGCCCCTTCGATCCCAGCTGCACTTCCACCCTGAGGTACTCACCAGTGAAGCGAAAACAGAGGTCCACAGGAAGACTGGCATGTCAATGTTTATAGCAGCAGTATTCAAAGCAAGACAGGAAAACCCTAATGTTCCCCAGCTGAAGAAGGGCAAGAAAAGCTGCGGCATAGCCACACGGCGGTCTGCCACTCGGCAGTAAAAGTGGAATTCCCTCCCGACATGTGCAGCAACACAGAGGAGTCTCCGAAGCATGACACCAAGCAGAAGAAAACACAAAAGATCCCACTGTCCGATTCCACTTCCATGACACTCTAAACAAGACAGCGAGGCAGGCCAGGGCTGCCAGGGCTGGGCGTGGGTTGGGCTTGACTTGGAAGGGGCTCATGAGACCTTTTGGGGGTTTCAGACATGTCCTATATCTTGACGGTGATAGTGATGACAAATGTATATATTTGTCAAAACTCATCAAAATACACACCTTAAATGGAATCATTTTGTTGGTGTTAATTCTCAATAAAGTTGATTGAAAGAAAATGAGACTTTAAAAATATAAAAGAAACAGGCCAGGTATGGTGGCTTAAGCCTGCAATCCCAGCACTTTGGGAGGGTGAGGTGAGAGGATTGCCTGAACCCGTGGGTTCTAGACCAGCCCGGGCAACATGGTGAGACCTCATCTCTACAATAAACCCAAAAATGAGCCGGGTGTGGTAGCATGTGCCTGTAGTTCCAGCTACTTGGAAGACTGAGGCAGAAGGATCGCGGGAACCCAGCAGGTTGACACTGGGGTGGCCGTGAGTGTGCCACTGCACTCCAGCCTGGGCAACGGGGTGAGACTCCAACTCAGAAAAAAAAAAAAGATAGAAATAAAAAGGTCAGTAGACAGACCAGGTGCAGTGGCTCACAGCTATCATCCCAGTGCTTTGGGAGGCCAAGGCAGGAGGATCTCTTCAGCCCAGGAATTTGAGACCAGTTTTAGCAACATAGTGAGACCCTATCTCTTCACAAAATACAAAAATTAGCCAGGCATGGTGGTGCACACCTGTAGTCCCAGCAATTCAGGAGGCTGAGGCAGAATCGCTTAAGCCCAGGAGTTTCAGGCTGCAGTGAGCTATGAGGGTGCCACTGCACTCCAGCCTGGGCCACAGAGTGAGACCCTGACCCTAAAAAATAATTGGGCCGGGCTCGGTGGCTCAGCCTGTAATTCCAGCGCTTTGGAAGGCCGAGGTGAGTGGATTGCCTGAGCCCGTGAGTTCCGGACCCGTCCAGGCAACTTGGTGAGATCTCATCTCTACGATAAATTAGCCGGGTGTGGTAGCGTGCGCCTGTAGTTCCAGCTACTTGGAAGGCTGAGGCGGAAGGATCGTCGGAGCCCAGCAGCTCGAGGCTGTGGTGGCCAGAGGCATGCCACTGCACGCTAGTCTGGGCGATGGCGTGAGACTCCAACTCGAAAAAATAAAATAAATAAAAATTAAAAAAACAAATTGAGCCTTACTCAGAAAATATCGATGTTTAGCCTTTGGAATCAATCTGCATGCAAATCATGAAAAGGCAAATATTCTCCATCGACCCTAACGTAAGCAGTAACCTTGCCAATGGAAAAGCAAATGCCCGGCTGTCCTAAGTGGGCGGAGGTGGGGGAGGCAGAGGAAGGACCGGGGTCCTCATCTTCCGTGGGGGAGAGGACAGAGATGCTGTCCAAAGCGGGTGGGACAAGAGATGAGCTGTAACTGCTGTGCATTATGGGATTCTACACAGGACTCAGGAAAACTTAAACAGAGAATGAAAATGTAATGCACAGAGGTGGGAGACGAGTGTATCTCTCCAACCTCACCCGATGAGGCTCTGCTGAGCTGACACTTGCCACCTGTCCAGACCATCGTCTTGCCATCTTCCTCTGCCCATCTGGAAGCTCCCGACACTGGCCTCCTTGCTGTTCCTCCAACTTACCAAGCTCCTTTCCAGCGGCAGCATCTCTACGTGCCAGTCGCCAGTGGACACAGGCGCAAGTCCATGGAAGGGCACTCGCCCTGGCCTCTTAGCAGCCCGCCCTTCCAGAGACAGAGAGCCGGCCCTGAGGCTGAAGGATGCTTGCTCTTCCCACCCAGGGAACAGGTGTGTTTTTTATTTGCCCCAGCCCACCTACATATATAAACTCTGTATTGCAACAATTCTAGACTTTTTAGCAGAAAAATTGCAAAAATAGTAGCGTGTCCATATACTCTTCGCTCAGTCTCTCCTGATGTGAACATCTCACACAACGGTGGTACAAATAGCAAAACCGGGAACTTAACAAGTGGCACACGCCTGTTTTCCAGCTACTCTGGAGACTGAGATGGGAGGATCACTTGAGCCCAGGAGTTGGAGACCAGCCTGGGTAACTGCGTGAGAACCCCATCTCAAAACTGAAAACAAACAAAGCAGAGATTTAACCCTGGCGTAATACTGTCATCTAAACTACAGACTCAGTGCAGACATAACCAGCTTTTTTCCACGAATGTCCTCTGCCTGTCCAGGCCAGCCCAAGAGCGCGTGCTGTGTTTAGTGTCAAGTCCCCTGGCCTCCTCCAATCTGGGATGGCTCCACACGGTGCCCTGTCTCTCAGAGCCTGACATCTTTAAAGGGCACCACTCGGTTATTTTGTAGAATGTCCTGCATTTGGGTTTGTCTGGTGTTTCCCACATTGAGGTTGAGGGGATGCAATTATGGCCACAACACCATGGCAGTGACGTGTGTCCCTCCCGGCACATTGCACCTGCGTGCGTGACATCGGTGTCTATTCCTTGACGGCGTGGGGAGGGTGTGTTGGCCGAGCTCCTCCACTGTCAAGTTATAGTTGTCCCTTTGTGACGAGCACATATCTTGGGGGAGATACTTGCAACCACGCAAACAATCCATTGTCTGGAAATGCCAGCCCACTGCCTCAGCTTCCCTCAGGGGGTCCCGCTGCTGGGACTGTGTGTGCTGGCCTCAGGTGGAGTGTGTTTCCCTCGGTCCTACTCCATCCACTGGGGGAGCGTTTCTGTAAGGAAGAACCGTCCTTTCTTCCCACTTGTTTGCGCCTTATGTCAATCACTTGGACTCGTGGCTATGTCTGTTCTTCTGTGCGTTCCAGTTCACTAGTATTGCTGTGATTCTGATGCTCATGTCGGCCCAGTTTGGCCGTGAGGGGCACCTCGGGGTGGCCTCAGTCCTTTCCACATGCCTCTGGGCCTTCTGGAGCCCCTCCTTACTTTCTCTGCATAGACATTTTTTCTTATGCCTGAGCCCAGGGGTTCAAGACCAGCCTGGGCAAATTGGCTGAGACCTCGTCTCTATAACTAAAAAAAAAAAAAAAATAGCAGGGTGTGGTGGAAGATTGAGGCAGAAGGATCGCCTGAGCCCAGCAGGCTGTGGTGGCTGTGACAGTGACACTGCATTCCAGCCTGGGTAACAGAGTGAGCCTCTGACTCGAATAAACAAGCAAACAAACAAAAATAGATACCCTCTATTTAAAACATCCATATGAACATATTTTATTACTTAAAAAATTCATAAACGTAAGTGAAGATGAGGTCTCGCTATGCTTTCAGGTTAGTCTTGAACTCCTGGCTGAACGTGATGTGATCCTCCTGCCTTGGTCTCCCCAAGTGCTGGGACGACGGGCGCCTGCCACCGCACCTGCCTGCTTTCTCCAAGGCACGATGCTCTGGGCTTGTCTTGTGTTTTCCCTGCTCGGACCTGGAATGAGCTGTGTTTTTTTTTTTTTTCTTTTTGAGTCGAAGTCTCACTCTGTCGCCCAGACTGGAGTGCAGCGGCCGCTCCCGGCCACCGCAGCCTCGACCCGCCGGGCTCCGGCGATCCTTCCGCCTCAGCCTTCCGAGTAGCCGGAACTACAGGCGCGCGCTACCGCGCCCAGCTGATTTTTTGATTTATTGTAGAGATGAGGTCTCGCTGCCCAGGCGGGTCTCGAACCCGCAGGCTCAGGCTGT